GACTGAATCCCCATTTATTTGTCCACTTTTCTACTTCAACTATTGCAGCTTGTATTTTCTTTCCAACATGCGCTACATTGCGGCCTTTTGCCCACAAAGCCCCATCACCTGCATACAAAGATTTCCCCACTTGAGTAAAAATGTCATGTATCATTATTATGAATAGCAACGGACATACACTACCTTGCGGAGTACCATTCTCCACAGCCTAAACACTTGAATATTCTGCACCTTGTAGTGACCACTAGGAGTGTAACGCTTCACAGAAGTCACGGTTCGGTTCGTACCTCGGTTTGGGGGTCACGGTTCGGTACGGGTTCGGTACAACAAGGAAAAGCAAAAACAAGTCCCAAATGCACCATTTTTTTTTGCTGTTTATTTTTAACAGTCGTGCAAGTTTTGGTATGAAAATAAGGAACTATAACATTTGGAATCATTAACTGTATTACACAGTTAAAAACAAACCACAAACAGTAACACACACTCAGATGGCCATATTATTTATAATGGCTGATGTCAAACTAAAAGGTTCAATAAGCTGTACAACTTAAAAGAATGTCTTGAACATATTAAAATAAATAATAAGAAAGTGTTTAAATCACAATCAATAAAAGGCAACACAGAACTGTATAACATCTCCTGATGTCAACATATAAAATAAATACAATGATAAATATAAAACAAAATAAAATCTGTACCTTTAGGAGCAATGTGTAACATGTGTAATTAACTGGTACTCAAGCTTTACTCTATTTTCAAGTTGTTCTTCAAAAAGATGAGTTAGTCTACGTTGTCAGCAGTGAGGGCAGATCTGTTGGCGGTAACTGTCACCTGCCGTCGAGAAAACCCTCTCGCTGGGACTGAGACTGACTCGGATGTGATTGAGCATGTTTGACGTGTTACCACTAGCATACCGCACCGCTGTCGAACAACGCCGACACACCGTCCTCGTCCGATCCACAACTCGCACCCCATCATTGTTGTAGTCCACAGGGAACCCGAAATGTTCCCACACAGCTGATTTAAAAGAAGCAGGTGGGTCTTCTAGCTCCTGTGTGTTGTGTGAACTCGCCGTAGCTACTAACTTTTCTTCTTCATGTATTGTGTTCGTTTTGTTGTGTTTTGTTCTTGTTCTTCATTTGTTATTTACGGGCGGCTGGCTTTTAGGCGCAATACCGCCCCCTGGATTATATATAGTGTAATACTGTCCTGAGTGACAGACCTTTTTCCCCACTCGTAAAAAAAGGCGTATTCGCCGTGTGACTGCATGTGCCGAACCGTGACATCCGAACCGTGACGGTACGGGACGAATACGGATACCGTTACACCACTAGTGACCGCTCATTAATACACTGGGGTTCATAATTCACACATGGAACTACAGTTGGGGTTTTGTTTCCAAAACGGACATGTTAGGTGTTGTCTATATATGTTGTGTGCCTTCCTCTCTTCACTCTTTTCTTCCCGGACTGCAACCGGATAACATGACCTTAGTTACTCTCTAATAAAGTACCCTTTTTGCACCTTCCTTGCACCGCCTCTGACTCCCTATCTCTCGGCACTACACTGGTGATCCTGACAAGTCTCGAGAAGTTTCCGGGACGGACCCGAACACGGCAAAAGGAACTCAAGTTTCTTTCTCGAAATGCCGGGGATTTTTTTTTTTTTTTTTAAAAAAAACATGCGGCCCGCAGAAGGCTGGAGACGTTGCACGCCGTTCCTGCATCGGCTTTCCATCCAACAGGGAGTCGATGCACGACCTGCTGGGTCGACCGGCAACCCGATTGCTACCTCGTGGGCTTGTTTCTTCGGGGCGTGTGGCTGCACGTGGGGCTACTGACGGCTAGCAGCTACCCATGGCTGCCAGTTAGCGGCTAACGGCTAGCTGTTAACGGCTAGCTGTTAACGGCCGTCGACATATTTCGGTTAACATCTGACTGTTAATACATTTTTTTCCGGTGCCGGAGAGGAGGTTCGACCAGCCGGTTGACCTTGTGTGGACACTCATTTTTTGCTATGCAGGGCGCGATGACAGATTGTATTCCTGCAAAACAGGAGAAATGATGAACAACCAAATTCTTAGCTGCTCGTTTGGCGGGTCTTGCCAGAATGTATTATTCATTTGGCACACACAATTGTTAATGCCCTTAACCATTTGACACAACACACACGCAATTGTTAATGCCCTTTTCTGTCTTCAATATAAACACTTGTCTATATATATTCATGTCTTCAATATATTTGAAATAAACACCATGACTTAAAATAAGAATTTCTCTATTCAGATATTGATTTTGTAATCAAACCCTTTTAAATACCTTCCCAGGTAAAGCATCAGAAACTAATCTGTGCTAGCATTAGCAGTCAACAAGCATTTATGTATTAACTCTGACCATAGAACACATACAGATAATACAAAACACATACACAAAATACTTAGGATATAAACCCGGAAAATATGTAAGTACAAAATGTATAGGAGCTGTAAACAATTACATTTACAGGCATTAACTTTGATCAAAGCTCAGTTATGCTACATTAAAATAGCGACCGCCATTCCACACACGCGCACACAGCAACCACGAGGCAGTCTCCTACGCAGCATTGAAGACAATAAATAACGTCCAAACACCACTTTAAACACTAGGACATCGTGACACAACACTACCGTGGATTCTTATAACACTTGTGACACTATGTACACAAAACTGACCTGCAAAACAGGAGAAATGATGAACAACCAAATTCTTAGCTGCTCGTTTGGCAACTCCGTCTCCACATCAGTCCGTTTACGGCAGGCGCAAATCACAACAAACCCGTTTACAGCAGTGTTACCCTGCCATATACTGCCCCCTGCTGTCCATTGTTAAACAGGTTTCTAAAATGATATTAAATATAAACATAAAAATGTGATCACACACTGTGTGGGTCACACCTGCGCGTCTGCCTGTGGGCCATCTAAGCTAATTTACAGATGGCCCTGAGCCCAATAGAGATTGCCCTGAAAAATGCACGCGGACGTAATGACGCACGATGGGTTTGGGGGGCCTCCCCCTAGAACATTTAGATTTTTGCAGGTCTTAGATGCTGTCTGGTTCTCTAGACTGAATTATAAGATGAACCACCACAATATTATATAGTACAATTTCAATTGTATTCTTCATTTCACTTGTTTGTTTGATCTTGTTTGTGTTTGTTCGCTTGCATGCCCTGCATAGCTATAAGAAATACTTAAGTTGTTGGTCAAGACACTTTCCATCTGATGAAGGCAGATGCCTTCCAGATGGACAAAAGTAGAAAACATTATATTCAGTTATAACTGCAAAAACAAACATTATTTACACTATTATGGCCCCTGTTAAAAATGTTTGTAATGTTATCTACTGTAAGTTGGTCGAACGAATGCCTCCTCACCCGGAAGCTGACCGAGCAGACCCGAGCAGCAGTCGAGAGGAGCCGAGCGCATCCGCGAAGCACACAAAATGTCAGAGTTCCCGTTAGCCGGCAAAATCTAAATCTCTTCGGTCAAAATAATTTCCCTTTAGCGCAATACCGCTTCAGTTGCGCCACTTATGTGACAGACAAGAAGAGTATGTGACAGACAAGAATAGTCGATTCTAATGGCTAACACTTAATGTGGAGAAAGAGATGTCCTGGATGGGTTGATTGTGCGTTGATCTGTTGGTAATGCCTCGGGGTTCCGGTGGGCATGTAAACTAATGCATAATGCTGCGCTATACTTTGCGGCCTCACCCGGTTGCATAGCGACGCTTATTGTTTAGGTGTCTTTTAATAAGCAGGTAGTCCTATCATTAGCTAGAACTAGCTGGATCTGATCGATATGGACATAAACGCGAGTGAAGTCTAATCTGACGGGAGAGAGAGATCAGCTGCTGCTGACGAGTCGACACGCAGCTCTGCATGATCACATGCAGCGGTGAGCGGACAAAACACACACTTCAGGTTAGAATATCACACGTAGCTATTTTAATGACCTCTCAAACTACCTAAACTGTTACGGTGTGTGAAGCAGGTAGGACCCAAATGCAGATTAACGTGAAAATTCCTTTATTTCAAGGCTATAGCCTACTAACAAAGACAGAACAGAACACTCACCGACAAACTAGTCATGACACAAGACGAACCGACAAAGACAGACAGAAAAACCAGAACTTAAATACACACAAGACTAATCATACAAACAAGACACAGGTGAGGAGGGAGGAGAAAACACAGGGACACCAGGTGAACACAATCGGGTAAATTAGACACACCAGGGAAACTAACGACAGGGAACCACAGACAGATTTAAACGCAGACAGAAAACCAAAAACAGATCTAGACAAGACAAAACACCATAAAGACAGATCGTGACACTAAACTAGTTATAGATATGTTTAGTTTTACTGTCGGGTCACTAATTACTGGATCCGCGAGCTGCATGATACTGACATAATAGATTGCCCGATCGGGCAACCAGCAGGTGAGGCTTCATTGCACGAGCTAAATACCAGATGGCCACTTTGAAATAAATAAAACATATAGCTGCACCCTAAAAAGAGTTCACTGATTGAATGATGACTGAAGATCTTCAGCTGTCTTCCTCTTCCGTGTTTTCCCTCCGATACGTAAAGGCTGCGGCACCTTTGAGAACTTCTCTCCACATATCAAACCTACCGGTAAACCAGCATCGCTTGCTGTGAAAGCAGATAACTCTGTCCTCGCAGAATTAAACCCTCTGTGTTCCTCCCATACTTGTCTTTTCTTTGATGTATCCATAGTTCGCTCATCGAGCCGGGGGTCAGGTTATTCACCTGCAAGAAAAGGCGCTGGCGCGGGACCGTAGCAGGATGTGACGCATATTTGAGTTGACCTAATTAAAACCGTTGTTTAAAAAAAATTATGTGTCACAGTATCACCTCAAAATACAAGATCCGAAACATTTTCAACCGTGCAACAAAATATAAATAGTCATGTTTGCTTTTTCTTTCACAATGCAGAAGAACGGCAGCCAGATCGTCTACGAGAACTCCATCGTGTTGAGCAACCGCTCATCGGCCGGCGTCATCACGCGCCAAGACCAACTCAAGATCGACTTCTCCTGCTTTTACAAACAGCCGGAGGTCAAGAGTGTGCCCTTCACTATCAGAGACAGGTGAGGGTCCTCCAGGTCCTTAATGCACCACAGCTTCACATTCACAATGCTGAAGTGTGTGTGTGTGTGTGTGTGTGTGTGTGTGTGTGTGTGTGTGTAGTGTGTGTGTGTGTGTGTGTGTGTGTGTGTGTGTTGTGTGTGTGTGTGTGTGTGATGTGTGTGTGTGTGTGTGTGTGTGTGTGTGTGTGTGTGTGTGTGTGTGTGTGTGTGTGTGTGTAGTGGTGTGTGTGTGTGTGGGTGTGATGTGTGTGTGTTGTGTGTGTGTGTGTGTGTGTGTGTGTGTGTGTGTGTGTGTGTGTGTGTGTGTGTGTGTGTGTGTGTGTGTGTGTGTGTGTGTGTGTGTGTGTGTGTGTGTGTGTGTGTGTGTGTGTGTGTGTGTGTGTGTGTGTGTGTGTGTGGTGTGTGTGTGTGTGTGTGTGTGTGTGTGTGGTGTGTGTGTGTGTGTGTGTGTGTGTGTGTGTGTGTGTGTGTGTGTGTGTGTGTGTGTGTGTGTGTGTGTGTGTGTGTGTGTGTGTGTAGCTCTGTGGTGCAGCACATCGTATCTGGAAAGTGGAGCTACACTCTGACGATGAAAGCCTTCAGCGACGCCGGCCTCCTGCAGCCGGTCGGCCCGAAAACGGAGATCCTGCTGAACCAGAAGGTCTGGCTGCAGCTGGACGCCAACATGGTCGCCATGGTGACAGACTCCTGCTGGGCAACCAATCAGGCATCACCTGATGATTCGCTGCGATATGACCTCATCATCAACGGGTGAGGAAAAAAACTCTGACTGTTAGAACAGAATAAACTCTGACTGTTGGAACAGAATAAACTCTGACTGTTAGAACAGAATAAACTCTGACTGTTAGAACAGAATAAACTCTGACTGTTAGAACAGAATAAACTCTGACTGTTGGAACAGAATAAACTCTGACTGTTGGAACAGAATAAACTCTGACTGTTAGAACAGAATAAACTCTGACTGTTAGAACAGAATAAACTCTGACTGTTAGAACAGAATAACTCTGACTGTTGGAACAGAATAAACTCTGACTGTTAGAACAGAATAAACTCTGACTGTTGGAACAGAATAAACTCTGACTGTTGGAACAGAATAAACTCTGACTGTTAGAACAGAATAAACTCTGACTGTTAGAACAGAATGAACTCTGACTGTTGGAACAGAATAAACTCTGACTGTTAGAACAGAATAAACTCTGACTGTTAGAACAGAATGAACTCTGACTGTTGGAACAGAATAAACTCTGACTGTTAGAACAGAATGAACTCTGACTGTTAGAACAGAATAAACTCTGACTGTTAGAACAGAATAAACTCTGACTGTTAGAACAGAATGAACTCTGACTGTTGGAACAGAATAAACTCTGACTGTTAGAACAGAATAAACTCTGACTGTTAGAACAGAATGAACTCTGACTGTTAGAACAGAATAAACTCTGACTGTTAGAACAGAATAAACTCTGACTGTTAGAACAGAATAAACTCTGACTGTTGGAACAGAATAAACTCTGACTGTTGGAACAGAATAAACTCTGACTGTTAGAACAGAATAAACTCTGACTGTTAGAACAGAATAAACTCTGACTGTTAGAACAGAATAAACTCTGAGTGTTGGAACAGAATAAACTCTGACTGTTAGAACAGAATAAACTCTGACTGTTGGAACAGAATAAACTCTGACTGTTGGAACAGAATAAACTCTGACTGTTAAAACAGAATAAACTCTGACTGTTAGAACAGAATAAACTCTGACTGTTAGAACAGAATAAACTCTGACTGTTAGAACAGAATAAACTCTGACTGTTAGAACATAATAAACTCTGACTGTTAGAACAGAATAAACTCTGACTGTTGAAACAGAATAAACTCTGACTGTTGGAACAGAATAAACTCTGACTGTTGGAACAGAATAAACTCTGACTGTTAGAACAGAATAAACTCTGACTGTTAGAACAGAATAAACTCTGACTGTTAGAACAGAATAAACTCTGACTGTTAGAACAGAATAAACTCTGACTGTTAGAACAGAATAAACTCTGACTGTTGGAACAGAATAAACTCTGACTGTTGGAACAGAATAAACTCTGACTGTTAGAACAGAATAAACTCTGACTGTTAGAACAGAATAAACTCTGACTGTTGGAACAGAATAAACTCTGACTGTTAGAACAGAATGAACTCTGACTGTTAGAACAGAATAAACTCTGACTGTTGGAACAGAATGAACTCTGACTGTTAGAACAGAATAAACTCTGACTGTTAGAACAGAATAAACTCTGACTGTTAGAACAGAATGAACTCTGACTGTTAGAACAGAATGAACTCTGACTGTTGGAACAGAATAAACTCTGACTGTTGGAACAGAATGAACTCTGACTGTTGGAACAGAATAAACTCTGACTGTTAGAACAGAATGAACTCTGACTGTTGGAACAGAATAAACTCTGACTGTTAGAACAGAATAAACTCTGACTGTTGGAACAGAATAAACTCTGACTGTTGGAACAGAATAAACTCTGACTGTTAGAACAGAATAAACTCTGACTGTTAGAACAGAATAAACTCTGACTGTTAGAACAGAATAAACTCTGACTGTTAGAACAGAATAAACTCTGACTGTTGGAACAGAATAAACTCTGACTGTTAGAACAGAATAAACTCTGACTGTTGGAACAGAATAAACTCTGACTGTTAGAACAGAATAAACTCTGACTGTTAGAACAGAATAAACTCTGACTGTTAGAACAGAATGAACTCTGACTGTTAGAACAGAATAAACTCTGACTGTTAGAACAGAATGAACTCTGACTGTTAGAACAGAATGAACTCTGACTGTTGGAACAGAATGAACTCTGACTGTTAGAACAGAATAAACTCTGACTGTTGGAACAGAATAAACTCTGACTGTTGGAACAGAATAAACTCTGACTGTTAGAACAGAATAAACTCTGACTGTTGGAACAGAATAAACTCTGACTGTTAGAACAGAATAAACTCTGACTGTTGGAACAGAATAAACTCTGACTGTTAGAACAGAATAAACTCTGACTGTTAGAACAGAATAAACTCTGACTGTTAGAACAGAATAAACTCTGACTGTTGGAACAGAATAAACTCTGACTGTTAGAACAGAATAAACTCTGACTGTTAGAACAGAATAAACTCTGACTGTTAGAACAGAATGAACTCTGACTGTTAGAACAGAATAAACTCTGACTGTTGGAACAGAATAAACTCTGACTGTTAGAACAGAATAAACTCTGACTGTTAGAACAGAATAAACTCTGAGTGTTAGAACAGAATAAACTCTGACTGTTGGAACAGAATAAACTCTGACTGTTGGAACAGAATAAACTCTGACTGTTAGAACAGAATAAACTCTGACTGTTAGAACAGAATAAACTCTGACTGTTAGAACAGAATAAACTCTGACTGTTAGAACAGAATAAACTCTGACTGTTAGAACAGAATAAACTCTGACTGTTAGAACAGAATGAACTCTGACTGTTAGAACAGAATAAACTCTGACTGTTAGAACAGAATGAACTCTGACTGTTGGAACAGAATGAACTCTGACTGTTAGAACAGAATGAACTCTGACTGTTAGAACAGAATGAACTCTGACTGTTGGAACAGAATGAACTCTGACTGTTAGAACAGAATGAACTCTGACTGTTGGAACAGAATAAACTCTGACTGTTGGAACAGAATAAACTCTGACTGTTGGAACAGAATGAACTCTGACTGTTAGAACAGAATGAACTCTGACTGTTGGAACAGAATAAACTCTGACTGTTAGAACAGAATGAACTCTGACTGTTGGAACAGAATAAACTCTGACTGTTGGAACAGAATAAACTCTGACTGTTGGAACAGAATAAACTCTGACTGTTGGAACAGAATAAACTCTGACTGTTGGAACAGAATAAACTCTGACTGTTAGAACAGAATAAACTCTGAGTGTTGGAACAGAATAAACTCTGACTGTTGGAACAGAATAAACTCTGACTGTTGGAACAGAATAAACTCTGACTGTTGGAACAGAATAAACTCTGACTGTTGGAACAGAATAAACTCTGACTGTTGGAACAGAATAAACTCTGACTGTTAGAACAGAATAACCTGACTGTTGGAACAGAATAAACTCTGACTGTTGGAAACAGAATAAACTCTGACTGTTGGAACAGAATAAACTCTGACTGTTAGAACAGAATAAACTCTGACTGTTGGAACAGAATAAAACTCTGACTGTTAGAACAGAATAAACTCTGACTGTTGGAACAGAATAAACTCTGAGTGTTGGAACAGATAAACTCTGACTGTTTAGAACTAGAAATAAACTCTGACTGTTAGAACAGAATAAACTCTGACTGTTAGAACAGAATAAACTCTGACTGTTTAGAACAGAATAAACTCTGACTGTTAGAACAGAATAAACTCTGACTGTTAGAACAGAATAAACTCTGACTGTTAGAACAGAATAAACTCTGACTGTTAGAACAGAATAAACTCTGACTGTTAGAACAGAATAAACTCTGACTGTTAGAACAGAATAAACTCTGACTGTTAGAACAGAATAAACTCTGACTGTTAGAACAGAATAAACTCTGACTGTTAGAACAGAATAAACTCTGACTGTTAGAACAGAATAAACTCTGACTGTTGGAACAGAATGAACTCTGACTGTTGGAACAGAATAAACTCTGACTGTTAGAACATAATAAACTCTGACTGTTAGAACAGAATGAACTCTGACTGTTAGAACAGAATAAACTCTGACTGTTAGAACAGAATAAACTCTGACTGTTAGAACAGAATAAACTCTGACTGTTGGAACAGAATAAACTCTGACTGTTAGAACAGAATAAACTCTGACTGTTGGAACAGAATAAACTCTGACTGTTAGAACAGAATAAACTCTGACTGTTGGAACAGAATAAACTCTGACTGTTAGAACAGAATAAACTCTGACTGTTAGAACAGAATAAACTCTGACTGTTAGAACAGAATAAACTCTGACTGTTAGAACAGAATAAACTCTGACTGTTGGAACAGAATGAACTCTGACTGTTGGAACATAATAAACTCTGACTGTTAGAACAGAATAAACTCTGACTGTTGGAACAGAATAAACTCTGACTGTTGGAACAGAATAAACTCTGACTGTTGGAACAGAATAAACTCTGACTGTTGGAACAGAATAAACTCTGACTGTTGGAACAGAATAAACTCTGACTGTTGGAACAGAATAAACTCTGACTGTTGGAACAGAATAAACTCTGACTGTTAGAACAGAATGAACTCTGACTGTTAGAACAGAATGAACTCTGACTGTTGGAACAGAATGAACTCTGACTGTTAGAACAGAATAAACTCTGACTGTTAGAACAGAATGAACTCTGACTGTTGGAACAGAATAAACTCTGACTGTTGGAACAGAATAAACTCTGACTGTTAGAACAGAATAAACTCTGACTGTTAGAACAGAATAAACTCTGACTGTTAGAACAGAATAAACTCTGACTGTTGGAACAGAATAAACTCTGACTGTTAGAACAGAATGAACTCTGACTGTTAGAACAGAATGAACTCTGACTGTTGGAACAGAATAAACTCTGTCTGTTAGAACAGAATAAACTCTGACTGTTAGAACAGAATAAACTCTGACTGTTAGAACAGAATAAACTCTGACTGTTGGAACAGAATGAACTCTGACTGTTGGAACAGAATAAACTCTGACTGTTGGAACAGAATAAACTCTGACTGTTAGAACAGAATAAACTCTGACTGTTGGAACAGAATAAACTCTGACTGTTAGAACAGAATAAACTCTGACTGTTAGAACAGAATAAACTCTGACTGTTAGAACAGAATAAACTCTGACTGTTAGAACAGAATAACTCTGACTGTTAGAACAGAATAAACTCTGACTGTTAGAACAGAATAAACTCTGACTGTTAGAACAGAATAAACTCTGACTGTTAGAACAGAATAAACTCTGACTGTTGGAACAGAATAAACTCTGACTGTTAGAACAGAATAAACTCTGACTGTTAGAACAGAATAAACTCTGACTGTTGGAACAGAATAAACTCTGACTGTTAGAACAGAATGAACTCTGACTGTTGGAACAGAATAAACTCTGACTGTTGGAACAGAATAACTCTGACTGTTAGAACAGAATAAACTCTGACTGTTGGAACATAATAAACTCTGACTGTTAGAACAGAATAACTCTGACTGTTTAGAACAGAATAAACTCTGACTGTTAGGAACAGATAAACTCTGACTGTTGGAACAGAATAAACTCTGACTGTTGGAACAGAATAAACTCTGACTGTTGGAACAGAATAAACTCTGACTGTTGGAACAGAATAAACTCTGACTGTTGGAACAGAATGAACTCTGACTGTTGGAACAGAATGAACTCTGACTGTTGGAACAGAATGAACTCTGAGACTTCATGGTGTGTATTTCCTGTCTCCGGGCAGATGTCCGAACCCTGCTGATGATACGGTGCAGATGCAGGGAAACGGACAGGGAACGTCCAGCGTGTTCTCCTTCAACATGTTCGAGTTCTCTGGAGCAAGCAGTGAAATCTACCTGCACTGCAAACTGGAGCTGTGCCCCACACAGGGCCAGGCCTGCACTCCGGTACACACCGAGTACTAATACACAGAGTACACAGAGTGCTAATACACAGAGTACTAATACACAGAGTACACCGAGTACTAATACACAGAGTACACAGAGTGCTAATACACAGAGTACACAGAGTACACAGAGTGCTAATACACAGAGTACTAATACACACAGTACACAGAGTGCTAATACACAGAGTACACCGAGTACTAATACACAGAGTGCTAATACACAGAGTACACAGAGTACACAGAGTGCTAATACACAGAGTACTAATACACAGAGTACACCGAGTACTAATACACAGAGTACACAGAGTGCTAATACACCGAGTACTAATACACAGAGTACACAGAGTGCTAATACACAGAGTACTAATACACAGAGTACTAATACACAGAGTGCTAATACACACAGTACACAGAGTGCTAATACACAGAGTACACAGAGTACTAATACACAGAGTACACAGAGTGCTAATACACAGAGTACACAGAGTACTAATACACCGAGTACTAATACACAGAGTACTAATACACAGAGTACTAATACACAGAGTACACAGAGTACTAATACACAGAGTACACAGAGTGCTAATACACAGAGTACACAGAGTACTAATACACAGAGTGCTAATACACAGAGTACTAATACACAGAGTGCTAATACACAGAGTACACAGAGTGCTAATACACTGAGTACTAATACACTGAGTACTAATACACAGAGTACACAGAGTACACAGAGTACTAATACACAGAGTACACAGAGTACTAATACACAGAGTACACCGAGTGCTAAAACACCGAGTGCTAATACACCGAGTACTAATACACAGAGTGCTAATACACCGAGTACTAATACACAGAGTGCTAATACACCGAGTGCTAATACACAGAGTACACAGAGTACTAATACACAGAATACACAGAGTGCTAATACACAGACTACACAGAGTACTAATACACAGAGTACACAGAGTGCTAATACACCGAGTACTAATACACAGAGTACTAATACACAGAGTACACAGAGTACTAATACACAGAGTACACAGAGTACTAATACACAGAGTACTAATACACCGAGTACACAGAGTGCTAATACACCGAGTACACAGAGTACACAGAGTGCTCATACACAGAGTGCTAATACACCGAGTACACAGAGTGCTAATACACCGAGTACACAGAGTGCTAATACACAGAGTGCTAATACACCGAGTACTAATTCACTGAGTACTAATACGCAGAGTACTAATACACAGAGTACACCGAGTACTAATACACAGAGTACACAGAGTACTAATACACCGAGTACTAATACACAGAGTGCTAATACACCGAGTACTAATACACCGAGTACTAATTCACTGAGTACTAATACGCAGAGTACTAATACACAGATTACTAATACACAGAGTACACCGAGTACTAATACACAGAGTACACAGAGTACTAATACACCGAGTACTAATACACAGAGTGCTAATACACAGAGTACTAATACACAGAGTGCTAATACACAGAGTACACAGAGTGCTAATACACTGAGTACTAATACACCGAGTACTAATACACAGAGTACACAGAGTACTAATACACAGAGTACACAGAGTACACAGAGTACTAATACACAGAGTACACAGAGTACTAATACACAGAGTACACCGAGTGCTAAAACACCGAGTGCTAATACACCGAGTACACCGAGTACTAATACACAGAGTACACAGAGTACTAATACACCGAGTACTAATACACAGAGTGCTAATACACCGAGTACTAATACACCGAGTACTAATTCACTGAGTACTAATACGCAGAGTACTAATACACAGATTACTAATACACAGAGTACACCGAGTACTAATACACAGAGTACACAAGAGTAACTAATACAACACGAGTACTAATACACAGAGTGCTAATACACAGATTACTAATACACAGAGTACTAATACACAGAGTACACAGAGTGCTAATACACAGAGTACTAATACACAGAGTGCTAATACACAGAGTACTAATACACAGAGTGCTAATACACAGAGTACACAGAGTGCTAATACACAGAGTGCTAATACACAGAGTGCTAATACACCGAGTACTAATACACAGAGTGCTAATACACAGAGTACACAGAGTACTAATACACAGAGTACTAATACACAGAGTACACCGAGTGCTAATACACAGAGTGCTAATACACAGAGTACACAGAGTACTAATACACAGAATACACAGAGTGCTAATACACAGAGTACACAGAGTACACAGAGTGCTAATACACCGAGTACTAATACACAGAGTACTAATACACAGAGTGCTAATACACATAGTACACAGACTACTAATACACAGAGTACACAGAGTACTAATACACCAAGTACACAGTGCTAATACACCGAGTACACAGAGTGCTAATACACAGAGTGCTAATACACAGAGTACACAGTGCTAATACACCGAGTACTAATACACTGAGTACTAATACACAGAGTACACAGATTGCTAATACACAGAGTACACAGATTGCTAATACACAGAGTACACAGATTACTAATAGACAGAGGACACAGAGTACTAATAGACAGAGTACACAGAGTGCTAATACACAGAGTACTAACACACAGAGTACTAATACACAGAGTACTAATACACCGAGTACTAATACACAGAGTGCTAATACACAGAGTGCTAATACACAGAGTACACAGAGAGTTAATACACAGAGTACACAGAGTGCTAATACACAGAGTACACAGAGTGCTAATACACCGAGTACTAATACACAGTACTAATACACAGAGTGCTAATACACAGAGTACACATAGTGCTAATACACAGAGTACACATAGTGCTAATACACAGAGTACACAGAGTACTAATACACAGAGTACACAGAGTACTAATACACAGAGTACACAGAGTGCTAATACACAGAGTACACAGAGTGCTAATACACAGAGTGCTAATACACATAGTACTAATACACAGAGTACACAGAGTGTGCTAATACACAGAGTACTAATACACAGAGTACACAGAGTACTAATACACAGAGTGCTAATACACAGTGCTAATACACAGAGTACTAATACACCGAGTACACCGAGTACACCGAGTACACCGAGTACACCGAGTACACCGAGTACACAGAGTGCTAATACACCGAGTACTAATACACAGAGTACACATTCACTAACCGACTCTTTAGGAAGGAAGCTGTAAGGCCTCCTGTTATAGGAGTGGTCCTCGTCAGTGTCCAGGGGCAGCTGTAGACAGTCAACCATTATTTTTGACATGCACGGTTTAACTCCTCCAAAAATGATCCAGGCTCGATTCAGAATGACACAGTACCACACAAAACAAATGTTGCATGTACCATAAGTTCTATGTAGTATGTGTTTTAGGAGTAGTAACCCACTACCATGTCTGTGAGAATCCCTTCATCGTGAATTGGTGGCCAGAGGGCTTTCGTCAAGGACTGGACATGGACGCAGTCAAACCCGACTAACCCACTTCTCCGTGCATAGTCATATGCCCTGTTGCATGTTTCCAACTGACAGGTGATACCAGTGACGTTCATGGCTGGTGAGGTTCATGGCTGGTGAGGCACTGACTCTTTCAGAGTCAGATTTACAAATATTATATTTTGACCTTAATCGAAATATTCGGTTATTTTCAAAAGCTTTTTTAGTCTGATGCTTCGATTCATTTTAAACAGACCGTTCAATAAAAGGATAGGCCTACCCACAATTTAAATATTGGATTGTTCTTTCTTCGTAAGATTCCATTTGCATTACAATGGTGGTCTCACCTTGACTTGAAGATGAAGTCCATGCTATCCTTCTGGACAACAATCTCTATTACTTTTTTGTAAAAGTCCTCCTTATCTTCCTCTAGTTTCAAAAGTCTAGTTTGTTGTTCGCGTCTACCGTCTCTGCGTAGAATAACAGTAGCAACAAGAACCTGTGGGCTCACTTGCGCCCCCTTCAGTGCGGCAGAGGTTATGGCTGCCTCCCCTGGTGCTTTTTTCATTGCCGTTGTATGATGAGACCAGCGAGCCTAAATATATACGTGAAATAAGTTATTTAGAGACTATGGATGGCGAGGATAAATGTAATAAAGGGATCTACAAACATTACATTGGTGACATACAGTGAGATGGTGCAGGCATGCGCTTAGGGCCCGCTTTCCAGACAGTTTCTGTGGGGTGACGCATTCTGAGGTGAGGCAGAGCTCATCTGTGCCTCACCTCACCACACAGTAACTGGCTTGAGCGCGCTGACAAAATAAGTGTCCGCGCTACATTAGTGCCCGCGCTCCAGCCAGTTCTCGTGGGCTTACGTGAGGCAGAGCTCGTCCCTGCCTCACTTCTCATCGCTACCCGTAGTTGTAGCGGAGCTCGGCAAATTTGCTGATTTTGACTATAAAAAGCGATTGGAATCAAACATAAATCACATTTACAACACAGATCAGTGGAGACATTTTATTATTATTACTATTTAGTTTTTCTTTAGTTGTTTTGCCGTTACGTTGATTGGAGTATGACAGGTGAGGCACAGGACCCTTAAAGGTGATTTTAGGTGGTGATTTGCTGTGATGTCCGATGTTTTGGATGAGTGGTGCCTTTGTATGTGCATTTGTAGGTTTTTCCTTTTTAGTTGTAGGCTACAAAAACAACATGTTGTGGTTTAGTGCTTTGACATCAATTTTGGGGGATGTGGAAATATTGTGCCATGTTGCTGCAGCAGCCGGAGCTATCACTGGAGCGGCCATCTGAGCTATCACTGGAGCGGCCGTCGGGGCCATCACTGGAGGAGTCGTTGTGGTTGCTGGGGCCGCCGCCAACGTAGTTGGATGTTCGGTGCAGCAGTTTTTAAAGTGAAGAACATCTCCTTTCTCCCAATGATTGTTGGGCAAAAGCCACAGTGATAATGGCTGCTGGCCACACATTTGAGATGGCATTTATAAACATTATAACCTAAAAAAGAGACAGAAAGTGGTTTAGAGGATTCGAGAAACAAACCAAAATGAATTTCTTGTAAATATGCTATTTGAAACAAGGTGTTTGTGCGAGAGCAATAAATAATCATGTCACCAACAATAATATTTTTGCCTATAAACTGAATTTTTGCAGATTGAATGTGTGATTATGCTCATATTGTGCCTACCCCAAATAAGGATACTATTCGAGCATTATTAACAATTCATAACCTGAATATAAATCAAATTTTAATGTTCAATTTCTAATTCAAAATTAATTTACACCAAAGATGTCCTGGGGCACAGAAATAACACATGTAATGAGTGAGGCATTAAAACACATCTAACAAGTAATGTGATGAAGTATACAATGATCATATAGAATTATAGATTTACTTACCTCCATATTTCACAAGTGACCTCTGGTGGCTCTGCAAATGAGCCATCAGACCAGGGTGTGACCCGGTCCTTTCACAAAATGGACACTGGAAGGTGTCCGAGTCCAATTTGTTGAGCTCTGGGCGTGCTCCATCACGGAGTGTTGTGTTGTTTGTCTATAGGTGAATACAATAGAATACAATTTAAGCTACTTTAATATTGGAAATAGTTAACTCCTTAAACAAGCAGCAATGGACTGGCCTGTATAATCCTATGTGACAAAGGTGGTCATACTTCCTCACTTTCAGAAGGTAACCCTTTAACTGCCAGCGCCACCATTTGGTAGAGCACATTTTGTGTCTTGATATCTTGTTGAAAAAAAAAAGAAAAAAGTGTAACTCCATCTGATTCAGCCAGCTCTACTCTTTGGTTGATATGTTATGCACAAAACAACCTCTAGATTTCCCTGTGGTTCGAACAGCAAGCCCTTCAGCTAGTTTAAATGTCAGGCCTACAGCATAGCCACAAACCCCATCTAAAAACAGAGGCTCTGTCCTAATTACCTGATTGCATCCACCTGGGTTACGTGGCTCTACCCAATAACTACCATTTAACTTTAAACCACACTTAAAATAATAATTATACATATTTACATGTCTACAGTATAGCAGCTAATACATATTTTAAATAAAAAACATTCAAATGTGAAAGACACCTTCAATTAATATTTAAAACTTACACAAAATCAGATTCTTGTAAAAATTAGAGTACATGCATTGTTCCATCTGTCAAGCTAAGATATATACATATATCTTAGCTTGACATGCTAACTGAACGTCGAGCATGTCAAGCTAGGAGCTAAGATATATATATATATATATATATATATATATATGTATATATATATATATATATATATATATGTATTCCATTCCTTTACATTTAATATTTAAAATACAAATCAGCTAAATAAACACAATTACACTGCGCTAAACAGCCACATCGACAAACAAACGAGAACCTAAATAGTATGTAATTATATCTAAAACCACAATACGTTAATTACCTGTACTCGGTGCGCCATATTGTTTGTTGTCTGTAAACCTCCATGTCTCCTTAAATATCCTTGTGTCAGCGTCTCACATGTTGGGCGTGCTCTCTTCTGACCATATTTGGAAGTACAACTTTCGCGGCCGCAGCTAGACCCTTCTCAGCCACCGTAGTGTCGTGTAGTGTCGTGTAGTGTTGTGTACTGTCCGCGGCCGCAGCTAGATCATATTGGATCGGGCAGTGACAGTGTCTGTAAAGCTAACTTCCTGTCTGCGAAGCTAACTTCCTGTCTGCGAAGCTAACTTCCTGTCTGCGGAGCTAACTTCCTGTCTGTGAAGCCAACTTCCTGTCTGTGAAGCTAACGTCCTGTCTGTGAAGCTCACTTCCTGTCTGTGAAACTAACTTCCTGTCTGCGTACAGAGCTGTGGGGGGGCAGCTCGCAGGAGGCGCAGATCTGCTATATACGCTGATGGGAACGCGGCCCTCATCACTATGGGATGGAGAAACTGAAGAGCTTTGCATGGTAGGCAGCACCTTCATTTGTTCTTCCTAACGAGTTCCTTAATTAACACAATGTTTAACGAGTTCCTTGATTAACACAATGTTTAACGAGTTCCTTAATTAACACAATGTTTAAAGAGTTCCTTGATTAACACAATGTTTAAAGAGTTCCTTGATTAACACAATTGTTAACGAGTTCCTTGATTAACACAATGTTTAACGAGTTCCTTAATTAACACAATGTTTAAAGAGTTCCTTGATTAACACAATTGTTAACGAGTTCCTTGATTAACACAATGTTTAAAGAGTTCCTTGATTAACACAATGTTTAACGAGTTTCTTGATTAACACAATTGTTAACGAGTTCCTTGATTAACACAATGTTTAACGAGATCCTTGATTAACACAATGTTTAACGAGTTCCTTGATTAACACAATGTTTAAAGAGTTCCTTGATTTACACAATGTTTAACGAGTTTCTTGATTAACACAATTGTTAACGAGTTCCTTGATTAACACAATGTTTAACGAGATCCTTGATTAACACAATGTTTAACGAGTTCCTTGATTAACACAATGTTTAAAGAGTTCCTTGATTAACACAATGTTTAATGAGTTCCTTGATTAACACAATGTTTAACGAGTTCCTTGATTAACACAATGTTTAAAGAGTTCCTTAATTAACACAATGTTTAACGAGTTCCTTAATTAACACAATGTTTAAAGAGTTCCTTGATTAACACAAAAGCAGCAGTGTATAAACCATGACTCAGCAGTTTCTCTGTGTTCTCAGCTGATTCCTGACGGTGGAAATGAAGGTCTTGTTGCTGTGAAACTGAGCCGGCACATTATCTGAGATTATTCCTGAGGACTCCAGTTATTCTGAGCTTTAACTTCTTTATGATGTGGGGATAATAATCAAAAGGGGTTATTTTACTATGGGGGTAGGGTTGCGGCGGAATTGGCGGAACATTTCCGGTACATTTCCGGAAAGTTTCCATGGGAAAACAAAAAACATGACATTTCAACAGATTTTTTTTTTTTTTAAGTAGAACAGAACAAGTTTTAATTATTTTATTGAACAATTATTTGTTTCATTGAAGAACGAAAACAGGAATGCTGAGTTAAATATTACTCATCCCCACAACCCCGCTCATTAAAAAATGAACAAAAATGCACCCCCCATCCAAAAATCCCCACAAAGTCCCATTCAAATTGTTAAATGAAAAGAGCCCTTCTCCCTCCACAAGGTCCCATTAAACATGCAATTCTTCCTTCAAGCAAACCTCTGCATTTTGGCTAAAGCCTTTCAGTCAACGGGCTCTTCCTGGGCCTCATCAACATCACACTCTTCCTCTTCCTCTGCAATGTCACTGTCCAGCCTTGTTGAGGATGGCTCTGTGTCCGGCTCAAAGGGCCTTAGGTTTGCCCGAATGCCAACCAGTTTTTCCACTCTCACATGTGTGAGCCTGTTGCGAACCTTTGTGTGATCTCAATAGCCATGCAGTAAGCAATGTGCTATGGCATGGATATTCAAGTGTACTTGAATGGCATCTGTTTGTTTTAGTCAAGATTATGCTAAAATATACTTTCCCCAACTATATGTAAGTTCCCTATGAAGAGCCAACCTTCCATTTTGAAAATTCCCAGTTTATTCCCATAAATTCCCGTTAATTCCCGTGGAAAGTTTCCATCTTTTAAAATTCCCGGAATTTTGCAACCCTATGTGGAGGAAATAATGAAAAGGGCTTCTTTTACTATATGCACTGGTATATATATATATATATATATATATATATATATATATATATATATATATATATATATATATATATATATATATATATAATTTCTTCTTTAATATACTGTCTGTTTTTAAATGTGCACAGCCTGAAAGCTACCTGAGTGTTAAAGAAGGGAAACAGGAAGTGAATGAGAACTGAAATATAGATTACTACCCAGGAAGAGGATCAGATCAGATGTAATTCCTCAGAGCACGCTGTTGTACCTTTTTATTGTGATTGTATTACTAATGGAACCAAAAACAATGAATAAAGTGAGTGGGAAAAAGAAACATGAGTCTCAGTCGTTTATTCAGTGTGTGTGTGTCAAGTTTCCTGGTTTTTTTGGGTGTAATCCTCACTTGAAAAGGGATGAGGCGTCTACCGGACTTTGGGAATAGGATTTCACTCCAGTGACAAAGCTTCTTTTCAATATTTTTTATTTTGATGTAGAAGTTCACTTTATGCAGATTTGTATGGATGTTCTTACCGGCTGCCTGTCCTGACTCAGTAGAGGTGCCTCCCGTCTACCCGCTTCCGTCTACTAGGATCGCACACAGCTACTATTGAAACCCTCCTTGAGGATGCAGCACTGGGCTCTGTAATTAGGGTGATTACACCCAGCTTGCCAGAGGAGGCAGGATTGCCTGCGATCATTACACCTGTTGTCTATCCTATTAATTGCTGGTTTATGAAACATATTTGTAGCGTTTATGATTTAAATTCTGAATAAAGTTAAGATATTTTGTTATTCTATGTATCTATATCTTTTAATATGCGACTACTTCTAATCTGTTTTTTATTTTATATTTATTAACCTCTTAAACCCGGCCCCCCCGATACCGGGCGGAAAAACACGTCACTGCAGGAGACAGCGTCTGGGGGCTTCTTAATATTTAAAAACCTATGAATGTCTTATACTCAAATAACGGGAAAAAACTCAGCAACCTAATGATATGAGCCATTTTTATCGAAACAAAACACAAGTCTCACAAGAAGCGTTAGCATTAGCCCTTAGTGAAAACAGGCTGATGCTACTTCCGGTGCTAACTAGCAAAAACGATCTTTAAAACTTAATATGTTCTGCACAAACTACATATCAGCTGAAAGCTGATACTCCACAGATTATTTGTATATAAGTATCATCAATGTAGGACACAAACTCACTGAGCGAGCAGCCAGAACAGAGCAAGAAAACAACAACAGTGTTCTAAAGCATAACAATAATTATGTTTTACCGTTGCTGTTTTGTGATCAAAAGTCGTGTTCAAGGGAATAAAAACGCTGCTCAAGGTTAATCCAATGTCTCTTAGTCACTTTAGAATTGTTCCTGATAATCCATCATTACATTCATGGCTGCATCGTAGGTATAAAGTTTTGCAGTCCGGGTTTAGGCTTTCTCACGTGCTGTTTACGCAAGCCTCTCTCTCCTTGACGTAAGTGTAAAGCGGGATTTACTAACCCCCCCCCTCGATTCTATTGGCTCCAAAGTTTCAAAAAAGGTGTCAATCACCCAAATCGACCAATGGGTTCCAGAGATAGGATCCTGCGTAGTATGAATAATGCCAGCAGCGGCTGCTTTACGCACAGACGGAGCAGAAGCAGCCGCACAACCGCTCCAGCACAGCAGCCACGAACACAACACAGCGAACAGAGAACACAGAGACAACAGCAGGCAACCCTGATTATGAACTTCAGGAAAGGTATGTACTCTCTCTGTTTGTATATATTAGTTGTGTATTTGGTGTAATCTATAGTAATTCCACACTCGCAAAATACAAAATGGACGCCGCTTTGTTGTTGTAGCGTTATCGTTCCGTGAGAAACTAAAACAATGGCAACATCATGTTGGTGAACGTATAAATAGATTCATTGTATTTCGTGACTATAACACGGCAGTATATAAATAAAGCTGTATTGTATATCAACCCAGTATATATATATATAGTATATATATATATATATATATATATATACTGTTATCAAGGGCGCCGGAAGCGGGGGGGCCATTGGCCCCCCCACTTTTCAGCCCTGCCCCACATTTTCGCAGCAGCAGATTTTTTTTTTCTTTTTTTTTTTCTTTTCAGTCTTTATTTCGAACAGATTCAAAAATAACAAATAAAAAATAACAAATGTGAAAAACAGAGTACCGTATTGTTATAATACAGTATTTATCCACATTCATGGTAATATTTGTATATTCAACAAAAAAAACAAAAAAAGTCTTCATAATAATAATAATAATAAATCATATGTGTCCGAAAGGGAGCAGGAGGAAGCAAATGCTTATTAATTCCCACCCCTTACTTGATCAATGATTGTCCTTTAAATCATTATGCAAGTTATTCCTACATACATTTACATTTATACATACATATACAATAATTTCTCATCTTCAATCACCTTTCTTCATTCTCATATTTTTCCAAAAAAGTGTTTCTGTACATCCTTTTAAACTGAATTATGCGTGTGCTTTGTTTGAACTCCTGCTTCAAACCATTCCATAAAATCACCCCACAGATTGTTATACTCATACTTCTCAGAGTTGTTCTGACCTTGAGTTGTTTAAAATGTAGATTTCCTCTCAAATTATACCCACCCTCTCTGTCTATGAACAATGTTTTTAATTTCCTAGGAAGTAGATTATGTCTGGCTCTGTACATGATTTGTGCCGTTTTAAATTTAACCAAATCAATGAACTTCAATATGTGTGACTTCAAAAAGAATACATTAGTGTGTTCAAGATATTCAACATTATTGATAACTCTTATAGCCCTTTTTTGTATTGTGCATAACGGCTGTAGGTTGGTTTTGTACGTGTTTCCCCAAATCTCCACACAGTAAATCAGATATGGCAATATTACAGCCTGTCCTCCTACAAAAAACGACCATATAGGTCGATTGTTCAGCAGCTAAATACGACCCAGAGTCACGTTTTAAAGTGTAGCACCTCTAGTGGTCGTGTAAGAAACAACATGCTCCTGTCGATTGCAAACGCTCCGGAGGGTTGTTTATTCACAAATTACCCTCTGGAAAATCCTAAATTGTGGAATAGTTTGGCCATTAAAATGCTTTTTTATTAGATTTCTAGCGAGAAGTGTATATTGTACTTTTATAATCTACGTCCAGTGGATGTGTAGGATCTACAGTTTGATAGATATACGAAGATAATTTGAGGTCTCGCCAGGAGAACGTGTACTGTATATGGGGCAGCTTCCATGTAAAGTTAGCATGGGTGAAAACAGTATTTCCGGTCTCGAAGTTTTCATAATAAAACCGGAAGTATTCCCCACACTGTCAAATGATCTCCATTACTCATCCACTTAAAAACATCAGTTTATCTTTGTTAATTACACAATATTGATTGGTTTAAATTGTGTACAATGCTTTTGTGTTTTTAACCTTCGATTCGGAAAAACAAATAGTTTTTTCGGAGTTTAGACACTACAGAGTGTCCGAAGACACTACACTACCCAGAATCCCCAGCTATCGTTTAGGACTACAACATCCGCCTTGCTTTACAAACCCCGTGATTAGCCCTCAAGCTCTGTGATTGGATGTTGGAGTGGCAGTGCGACAAGGTTACGCCGAATGTCAAACAGCTCTTTGAAATGGAATGGAACCACGCCAGACTATCCAAAACTGGACTTGGACGGGTCCAGCCCAGCCCTCCCCCACAGAATGACACATGCTGGCTATTGTGTGTTTCGCAATATGTTCTATGGCACGTCTCTACTGGGAATTGTAGTTTTATAAGACGTTTTCGTATTTCCCACAATTAGAAGTTGCCAGTATTAAACTGTATACATCCCTGGAGGTTTAGGGAATACGAAACACATTGGTGTTATCAAATTTAAAACATATAATTAATACATGGGTGAAAATTGCTTGTGCCCATAATGGGCAGCATTAATATACCCACATGACAGCTAAGGTCAGAAGAGCTTTATTTAACAGCTGGTCTTATGTCTGTGACCCCTCCTGTTGTTAATTGATAAGCCTGAAACATGCACTTGTCAAGGTTCAGATGCACATTTAGCAAATATGGCAGTAGCCATCGATCATCTTAAGATAAGATACTTTATTGATCTCAATTTGGGAAATGTTTTTGTTACAGCAGCATGTACTACTTTGTTCTACTCCACTACAATTCAGAGGTCAACCTGGTATTTTTACTCCACTACATTTATTTTTGTTACTTTGCAGATTCTGATTAATGATGTGAAATATAAACAACCCTTAAATCAGACTTTCGTTACACCTGAGTAAAATTCAGCCTTATCAGTTTGTCTGTTTTGCACATCCACCTGTTAATATCTTTGGACGTCCTGCACTAAACGGTTTTATTGTAGAGATCACTACAGTATCTTCTTGATATTTTCTATTCTATATTTCTATCATTGACCCCTATTTTGTATGTAGGCTACTCTTAATATTTAAATGTTTTCATAAAAATTAAACTTATTCAACAACTAAATTCAATAACGTGCTTTAACCACTAGGAGGTACGGTTTAGACCAGTGGTCTAGTTAATAAAACATAATAATATCAAACATAATATGACTATTCACTTTATTGTGAAATTAAAACAGAACGGTAAAGGAAAATACAGTTTCAGTCTCTCAATGTGAAGCTTATGCATTGTACCATAAACTTTTATAGACCTGTAACAGTCAACTGCATGAGGAGTTGGAAAGGTAGTTCAGAAAATCAGTAATATCTTAAAAAACTACAAAAAAATCCCTTTCTATCAGTTGTGCACCGTTATGGTGTAAATACAGACTATCTACTTATTGGATCAAATATAAAAGTCAGCCGAATTAGTGTTGATACTGCAAGGAGACGTATTGTGTGAAAAGAAATGGAAGATGTTGTTTAATTGTTGATATTTTATGGTCCACGTCACGTATTCAGTTTTGGCGGCATCTCTTCCAGTTTGTCAAAAGGTCTTCTCATCAGGGCTCTATAAATACATATCTACGGCAGATATGTAAT